AAAACACAGTGGAGTATTAAAATATTGCAAATAATGCATTAAACTGGATTAAAGTCATATGATCAGGATTAATCGAGATGGATCTCGATTCTGGGTCCAACGGGGAAAGTTACTCGCGCGACCCCCACCCGTTTGATTTTTCAGGGCACGGCAGTGACGTCACCCATCCGGGACCCGACCGGGCCCAGAAGGCTTTCACGCTCTAATCTCTTATGCAACCTGTCGTCTCTGGCGACCGCCAGAATCGTATTCCGATTTTCTCCCCTTCGCTTGAATCCGATCCACTTGTTCACTTTCAAAGGAAGTCGTGAAGGAAAAACCGGGTACGCCGGTTTCAAGAAAATTCACTTATTATTTCACACGAATCATTTTTGCACTTTGACATGATTAATAAAATTTCCTGAACGTAAGAAGACTCCAAGCTTTGCGTATTAAAATCGTGTAACAACAAATATAAATAGTGAAAAATATTAAAAATAGTATAATCGAGAATTTAATTTGTAACAGAAGAAAGCGTAATATGAATTTTTATTGGATCAGAATAATTAATGTATAATTGAATTAATTCACATGTTCACGTAATTTATGGTACAGCGATTCGGTCAAGTGTTTCATTCACTGGGTTGAAAGTTACATGTGTTGCGAGGACTGCTCGAGGTAATTGGAGAGCAGTTCCAGTGAGCAATGGCTCTATTGTGTATGCACAAAACTTGAGAAAGATACGTGATTGCAACGTTTCCGGAAAATCAAGACTACTTATAAACGCTCTATCACTATTACAGAATTAAGACGTTAAACAGCTGCAATGAAGTCAGATAATCAATTATATGATTATGGAATTCGTAAGAGTCCAAACCAGAAATTTTATATTACGATCTTATCATTTTTAATGAACATTCTACAGAAACCTTGGAAGAGAAGATCTAATTAAGACGTTTAACTATTGCATGGAAATTAGATAAGGACTTTCACGATTATAGAATCCGAATTGAATTCGGAGTAAATATTTTTGTCGGATGAGCAACGAATCTCAATGAGCCGACGAGAGACTTTGAGACGACCACGAAGGATAGGAATGATAAAATTCGATTCCATATTGAAAAATTGTTCACGAATTCGAGCCGACTGCCACCATGTTTCACACGCAGCCATGTTCCACATATCATTACCCTACTCCGGGATCTCCTCTCGTAACGTTTCGAAAATAATCCAACAGGTTCAGTATCGGCCACACTGTTCGTTCATTTCTCTGATGATTTAATGGATTGATCCGACGTGAAATTTTTGACACTAAAATTCGTTTACTCACCGGCGAGGACGACGGCTGCCAGGAACAGCAGCACCAGCGAGGACCTCATCCTCAGACGGGAGCTCCCTGGTCCCAGATGAAAGTGGGAAAGTCTTGATTTATTCCGCTCTGCCCCTTTGGTTCACTCCAATTAAACCGGCGAAAATTTCCTTTTACAAAAGGAACAGAAGAACCGGAAGCACGTCGAAATCTGTGCCGGTACCACTTCCGGTTAAAGATCAGCGCTTGGGGCTCTTGCTTAAAACGTTTCTCGAGGACTCAGTTTTCGGCTTCAAGGACGCGGACCTTGAAGGTGTAGGTACCGCTCGCGGAATGACTGACGCCCGCCACTTCGTCGCGGCCTTATATTTCCACCACCACGTTTGGGCCCCCTCTTTACCTGGCCAGGCTCTCGACGATGCGACACGATCACCGCTCCGACAACTGTTTTGCCTGAGCTCCTGGCTCCCAGGATGCAATGGCGTAAGAGTTCGCGGTATCCAATTCGTCGAATGCGTCTCCTGTGCAGATTTTCATTGCTAGAAGACACCTCATATCAAGATTTCCTCTTCAAAAGAATTTTTACAAAATTTTATTCAAATGTCTGAGCCTGTTATTCATAAAATATTTCAACCCCCAGACTTTACTCAGTTTTATATAAAATATAAAGATTGAATACTATAAGAAATGTACACATCATGTACTTAAAGAGTAATGCCAATTATGTTACAAAAATCCTCAGTCTATTATTACTAAATGCATTAACGATATTAATAATTATGATAAACATGATTCATATTAAAGAGGTAAGTTGGTTACCAAAGAATTGTCTACGACCAAGAGACTTTCTTTCAAATTTTACGAGTCGAAAGTCCCGAATCGACGCCCAAGTTGGATCGATTCGAATTTATAGCATGCGATTCCCACCCGCAAGGATTTTGTTCCCCCAGTTTCATCGCTTTATCCAAAGGATTCGGACGGATTTGTTTGAATTGTAAAGTGGTTTTCTTTGATAGTAACAGTTACTATTATGTATCTAATAAAACATGTTAAATCGAGTTATAATGAAGTCTCTTATGAAAATACGATTTACTTTAGTTATCTACCTGTCTTGAAAATCAGTGCGTCATTGTTTCATTACAAATGAAAACATCTAAGAGAATTACGTGTGTATGCAAATGCCAACCGATCTCGAAGCCTTTGACCGGCAAATCGGTGGCTCGATGAGGAATGATCGTGTATTTAAATGGAATGTACCCTTTCGCTGAACGAATTAATAAAACGTATACGTTTTACCATCTTTAATTTAGTTCCTGGCAATCAGTAAAATGTTAATGTTTCAATAAATCAATTTCTCCTTAGATTGCAAAATAATCTTAACAAAATTCATCTTATCAAGCTAATTAAATCTATAATATTAAGAATATGATTACACTTCGTAACTGTTTAAATTAAATTTCAATTAATCGCTATTTTCATAAATAAAAATAATGTGAAGGCCATTCTGTCTTTTGGCACGC